GGGAATCAATAAACCTTTGGTTTCAAGTTTTGGACAGGGTATCAGTAGCCTACAGAGTTCTGAGTTTTCATTTTCTACTTTATACCTGCATACCAAAAAACCCACAAAATATAAAAGCAGAGACTTGCTGACATCTGCATCGAAAGAACAACTAGAGGCAGGGATCATGAAATGAAGGAGACCTTCAAAAGGAAGTACAACTGCTTGCCTCAAGAAACTTGTGTGTGAAAGATGCATCAGACTTGTAGACCTACCAGTAGAACTGGAAGTGAGCCAGAATTCTGGCTCCATTTCTGACAGCTTTATCTTGGAGAAAAACAGTATCACTTGAAATATTTCTATGTTTAACAGTTGCAAAGATTAAAAAAACCCTAGATTTTCTTAATTCAGTGTGGTTAAGTATCTTAATGGTAAGATAAGCATGTAGTCTCATTAGGTATTCAAGATAACCTTGGTTGGTTAAAACTTGGTGCTAATAACACTGAGGTCACTGGTTCAATCCCCTGTATGGGTTATTCACTTAAGAGTTGGACTCAATGATCCTTGTGAGTCCCTTCCAACTCAGAATAACCTGTGATATCAGGGGCTTTTTGATAAGAATAGTGTTCAACTTGAAACCATAATTTCAGTATTTAAATGATGTAATTGTTAATTACAGTCTGGCTAATTTTAGTAGTCAAATGAGTAGAAATTGAAGAAAAAAAGAACCTTTTTGCTCTTTATTCTTGTAGTAGTTACTGAGACTCTTCTGGTATGTGCTCCTTAAAATTGTCCAGTCTTAGGCTAAAAGCCACAAAGCATATATATCCCAACACTTTCAATTACAGTCTTGGTCTTTCACCTTTAGTACCTTTTTTTTTAATCTTTTTGCTTAAATTTGCTTCTGCTCAGTGTGTTGACATCATTGTTTCTTACAGGAGTTTGGAGTTCGGGAGGGCAGGAGTGGGAGTGCAGGAAACAATAGATGATACGCCAGGAGGCATGTGATGTCAGTGGGTGAGTGGAGGGAAGAATAGATGAAACAACGACAAAAATTTAAAGAGAGGCTGTGAGCTGTAGTGGCATGTAATGGAGACCACTGGGAACATTCTTAGATGTGGACAATCAGGTCTGCTTTGCTTGTACTCTGATAAGGCTGCCTCCAAAGTAGCTCTATTCTGGAAGTCATGCAAATGCAAAATGGTCAAACTAAACGTCTGTGAACCCCAGTGTCTTGGATTCAGCACTGCTCAGAAAGATACATCTAACCCTAGCAGAGTGCTTTTTTCTCTTTTACCTAGCCTCTTAGTTTCCAGCAAGAGTCTCTACTGTGATTTCGTTTGAGATTCAGATTCAGTATATCTTGCCTCTCAAAGCTTAGTTGAGGGACAAGAGGTACTGCATTAGTCCAGAATCACATACATGTTAAAACACTTGTTTTACATCTTACGGTTTTGAAGAATAGTCTGCACAAACACAGTTCTCCAAAATTGTCTTTCTAGACAACTTGTTTATTCCAGATTGCTCCACCTCGAGGCTCCTACACATTTTCCCTGTCAGGACGATACTACTAAGAGGTTTTCAAAGCACAGCAGATCAGGATCTATCTGGAAGAAAGAGTTATGCTGAGGTGGAAGTGCAAGAGTGTTATTTTTATTCTGAGATTTCAAATAGAAACAAAAGATAGAACATGAGGTCCTAATCTGTTCATGAGTTGCGTTTTCCATGTTACAGGATCAGAGTTATAAAGCTTACACAGTATTTCTCTGAGGTAGAAAACTTTACATACTGGCAACCTTTATCAAGAGGTAGTCATACTATCTCAGATCTTAAAAAAACTGGGTTTTTTTTTCAGCACTTAAGAACTTTATGTCTAAAAGGTGCTAACTGGATCCTCAACAAAATGGTTACAGAAGTTTATGTTCTCCTTTGTATTTCCCCAGAGGCAAGGAGACTACAGTCAATATGTCAGATATGTTGTAGCTGTTGTTTATATGGAATGAATCTTGAGATCATGATTGATAGGGCTCTTTTATATGTTTTGGCCTAGTGGTGTGATAAAGTTATGAATACTGAGAGGCAAAGCTAAGGTTTTTCATACACGTAATGAAAAACTGATATTCTGTCTAAGGCTGGTATTCGCACAGGCTTAGGTAAAAGTAATTAAATCAGGCTGTATGCACTCACGGGTCGTTGACTTCTGGGTTTTTTTGCTCCAAGTCAGGGTATAGGCATTCAAATAGCAAAAGGCATGTTCAAATTCATGCAGATATTTTTGGTGGGTTTATCTGCATTGCTTGGTGCTCCTGCTGCTTTAGCTGTAACAGGAGAAGTTGAAAGGAAGCTGCAGCATCTTGCTGTTCCTAGCACATGAAGTAGTAGTTATCCAATTGCTACAGGTCTGCTTCTGGGAGAATTTGATGTGCTGCTTCTCTTGTTGCAGAGGATCTCTGTTTCTCTAATTTCCCCTTAATGTCTGTGAAATGAAGCCAATGGGCTGTGTGCAGCTCCTTTTGTCTGAGTGCAACAATAACAGCATTTCTCTGGAAAGGTTTTGTTTTGGAGTTTCTTCCCCCCAACCTACTCTCAGTGAACAAACTGTTATGTCATTGTGCTGACATACTGTTTCTTTCTATCTTGACAATTAAATAGGCTTGCATTTTCAAACATCTCCTTCATGACTAATTGTAGTGGTGATTTGGCAGTTATGAGGAAGATGATATGTTGTTTTTATTCGATTTGCTTAAGTGATGATTATAAAGAAAAATTAAATTAGAGTTGAAGTTTTCCATTTTAACTAAAGTTGGACCTTGAAGTAGAACTACTTGGATGTCTTCAGTGCTGAATAACCTCCTTCCAGGTGTGAATTATCACACTTAGATTTTTTTGAAGAGAAGCTGGACGAGGCTGTTGAAGCAATAGGGAGTGAACCATTGAGCTATTTTGGAATTGAGTAACTTCTACAAATTTGAGTAAGCAGGAAGGTGCAGTGAGGGCTGGTTTGTTTTTGTTTTAAGATGGACTAGGACTTCAATGTGTAGTGCAGTTTCCGCGAACAAAAGAAGTTGCTTTTCTTTCCACGGTATGACCTTACCATCTCCCATAAAGAAAAATGTTCCCTGAAACAAAGGGTTGTTTTTTGTGTAACCTGGTCTGTGTCAGGTAATTTGCCAGTTAGTGTAAGTGCTAATCTGAAGGTTGTGTATGAGTTTTATTCGGTACCATTAGGTCCAACTAAACTTTGTAATACAGGAGCTATTATCCTGCCAGTTGTGAGGAATTTCTGTTTTATGGAGCAGTGCTGACACAAAGACAGCACTGTGCAAGCCGTCTTATAACTGAACACTTTCACACTGCAATTTAGGAGGCGTGCAGTTCAGGAAATTGCTGGCTTCTGCTGGAGCACACTTTTACTGCAAGGAAAATTTTATTCGTCACTCAAGTAATTGGCAGTTTTAATACCTTGATAGTAATTACCTTGTAAACAAACTAATGCATAAAGGCAAGGCTCTGTGACCTGTTATCTAACTCACAGTCTTATTTGGCCAGTGGAACTGACATATGGTGGTGGTGTTTGTTGTTTTTTATTAAAGTAATTTGTTTCCATTTGTTATAAATACTTTCAGCTAAGAGTTAAAAAATGCAGTGTACCTCTGCAGACAGCCTGAGGAATGAAACATGATACAAGCTCAGCATTGGAGGGGCTGCAAGATCACTTACCATTCCCACATGTGGTCAGAGGGCCCATTAATCTAACTTCTGGTTCAGTTTCTGAGTTAAGAATTTTTTGTCTTGAGCAGTAGTCCCCCCACACCCTTTGAATACGTGAGGGTTGTCCATGCTATCCTAATATGTGGCTTGCTGTTTGATCCAGAGTAAGTATTTCCAATAAAGGCAAACATCTCCCAGAATCAACATTCTTGTTGATAGTTTTACTGAAAGTGCTTTTGCCTACAATCTCCAGGAGCTGGGGAAGCTCCGAAATTTTGATAGTTCTTCATACAAGGTACAGGATATACCACAGCTAGAACTGACTTGAACTTCCCAATGTAACAAGTGTCATTTCAGGTAACGTTTGTTTAATTGGTCATGGTCTGCCTTCACCTATGTACTGTTAGCTCCCCCAAAATAACCCTGTTAACGTTGCTGATATGCGTGTATGATTCTGTACATGCAGCTGAGATGGAAAAACTGGTAGATTGCTGGGTATAAACCGGAAGTATGATCGCTGGAAAAAGTACATGCCAGTGGAAGTGAAGGAAGGGGTGTTCCTTATAACAGACTAGGATATCCATGTCTTTAAACAGTTGCAACCTTCTTGTTGTTGAATTGGATGTGATGCTTAGCAGAAGTTTGACCAGACATGAAGTCCGTAACCCCTGTAATGAGCTCTAATAAGTAGAAATCTTGTTCTTTGCCAGCTCACTAAAAAAATCTATAGGATGAAATACTAGGTCTAATTACATAATTATAGAGTGTTTTTCAGAAGGGGTGCACTGTCATCCATCTTTTCTGTTCTAGCTCTGCTTTTTTTCTGAAAATTCAGTCTTGACTTTCATGCCAAGGGAGTTTTCAAGAAACCCGAAGCACTATGTGTAGCTCCTATGATATTAATTTGCTTAAAATAGAAAACAACTCTAATTTCATTTCATTACAGTACTGTGATGTACTGTTCCATGCAAATAGCAGGTATTTCTACTGTTCAGAAACAGATGATTATAGGGTTTTGCATCTTGTTTTAAAAGCAATGAATTACAGTCATTGGATTATATTGCAATTTTTTTGTTGTTTACTGGGATTATATTTTAAGAAATATTAATGAACACTTAGAGTATTCCAATTTGTGATTTTAGGTGGCTAAAAATTAGTGTTATGTATAGAGAACATAGTTTATTAGTTTTATATAATGAGAAATTATTTTCAAGTAGGGGAATTAAGAACTAACTCTTGTCAGGGTTGTGTAGTTAATATGTGTTTACTCTGGAAATGAGAGTCTTTTGTGTACTGCCCTTAACTTTCAGGACCAGTAACAAGATTGCCAATGTTTTGTCTGAACATCTGAAGCCATTTCAGAGTCTAGAAACTTTGGACTTGAGCAACAACAACATATCAGAACTAAAAATGTCATCATTTCCATCATTACAGCTCAAGTATCTGTAAGTGAAACTTAGTATTATTTTATTTTTCTTTCAGGTTACTTTCAAAAAACTTGTTTGAAAACTTAGATTGGCAGCTGTTTGTTAAGGTACTCAAATCTTTTAATTAGACAGACATTAAATATTGCTATTTTCACCTGTTCAGCTTAATATCAGCTGCTATCTTGAATATATGAGTTGTTACAGTAAGATGTTTTTTTCATAAAAAAAACAAAGGCCATTATCCTGAGATGAAACAAATAGATGTATCTTGAGAGAAATAATTATGTAACAAAATGAATTTAAGTTCCCTATGGCTAGGTTAGTTTGAAGTTACATGGAGTCTGATAGACTTTGTGTGAATCTTTTTTAGGAATAATGCAATGCCAGAGCTATACTGAATGAGAATAAAGTAATGGTATTGCAACATATTATCTTTCTCTATAATCACATTCCTGCAGACTAGAGCGGGGGTGGTGGTGAAATAGTATTTGACTATAGAATAAGCTGTTGGGCTCTAATTAATATGATAAACAAAATTCCATTTATAAATGAGGAAGCACTGCAAGAGCTTTGTGTCTTACTACTTGGTATTAAGAATTTAATAAATAACTGTAATAATTAAATAACTTCTAGGCATTGTTTCAACAGGTATCTTAACAATAATCGAATAACCTCCATGGAGCCTGGTACCTTTGATAACTTGTCTACCACACTTCAAGTATTGAAACTGAACAGGAACAAAATTTCAGCAATCCCTCAAAAGATGTTTAAACTCTCCCATCTGCAGCACCTGTAAGTGCAAACTACAATTGACTAATTGTTTTCAGGTTTTCCAAAGCACTGGCAGTGCTTGAACTTTAGCCTTTAATTTAACCAGAGGCAGAGTGAGACAGATACAAAAAATATATTACTACAACCCTTTGTAACTGCAGCACTGTAGTGAACAAAACTAGTCTTATATGTTGGTGAGATGTGGGTAGTCTTTGTGTTTAAAATTGTTTGCCTATTAAAAGAAAAAAAAAAACACAAAAGGCTGGAGAAGGGGTAATAGCGATATTCCTGTAAAAAAGCGTGGGGAAAATAGTAAGTGAAGTAAACTTTTATAGTTCACTGCAGCAGTCATTTACTTTTGTTCTTTCATGGTGAAATGAAGGAAATTCAGTTGCTTTCAGAAGGTATGACTATAAGCAATATGCTTGAGTAAATAGACCTTCAGCTTCATTGATACAATGATGTCTATAAATGTTTTATCAAATAAATAATGAAGTTATTTAATAAAGTTGCTTAATATGAAAGAGACTGGGGAATTTTTTTTAAATAAAAACTTACAAAGTGTTCAGGAAATAGACAAGAGGATGGGCTACACTTTGCAAATACTGGATAATTAGTTCCCATATCAGATAGTCAAGAGTTAAAAATTACAAATTCTCTTAGGTTAACCTTGAAAGTGCAAGGTCATAAGAACACTGCAAAGGCTGTGTGTAGTGGCAGAAGGGTGAGTGCCGAGGCTGTTTGAGAAAGAGGGAAGGTGTTTTTGTGTAACTAGTTATGGAGAAGGAGGAAGAAATGTATAATGAGTGCTTGGCTGCGGATTAAGAAAGAGAGGGGTCACCGGTGACATTAATTTTTACCTAGTTATCACAACTAAATTGTCAAGTTTTTCTTTCTGACTGATTATTGGTTGCAATTACAAGCTAACCTTAACAGCTCTACTGTGGGATAAACAGCAGGAACTTGCTTTCACTTTTGAATTTGTGAACAGGCTTAACCATAACATTCTAGGTCTACAGGGATTCTTGAAGTCTGAAAATCAAGGAACTACCAAGTACTTGTCCTCAGTATCAAAAAGGCAAAACAGTATTAGCATGGTTAAACATAATGGATTACAATAAAATTTTTGATTTTTATTACTTCTTTTCTGTGTTTTATGTGCAAGAAAAGCATTTAAATAAGGTTTTTTTCCAGAGAGGGAAGAAAGGTTCTTGGCTTGCAGGTAAAATTACTGTGTTGTAAGTGTAAATTTTATTGATGCAGGGAGCTGAATCGCAACAAAATTAAAAAAATAGATGGGCTTACTTTCCAAGGACTTCCAGCTTTGAAATCATTAAAGCTGCAGAGAAATGGAGTTACGAGGCTCATGGATGGTGCTTTCTGGGGATTGACCAACATAGAAGTCTTGTAAGTATCAAACTTCTGCTGGGAGATTCTGCTGATAACATATTAAGTAGAATTACGCAAAATTAATAGAATTTCCTGGTAAAATTTAGAGATGTCTTTGAATTAAATTGTTCTGGTGTGGTTTGAAAAACAGCAAGCAGTCAGTAGTTAATGTGTAGGGCAGCACATTCTGAATGCATGTATACAATTCTAGATGTAAATAGAGGCTGCAACTATCTAGCCAGTGTCATGAAGTCAGATGTGGACCTGTGGCAAAGCATGCCTGCTGCTGAGTTTCTGAACCTTATGTCTTTTGTCTGTTTGTGTGTGTTTGTAGGCAGCTGGACCATAACAACTTAACAGAGGTAACCAAAGGCTGGCTTTATGGCTTGCTGATGCTGCAGCAACTCCATCTCAGTCAAAATGCCATCAGCAGGATCAGTCCTGATGCCTGGGAATTTTGCCAAAAACTCAGTGAACTGTGAGTAGCTTTATTCTATTCCAGTTTTGAAAGCCGGGTACATGTCAAAGCATGAGCTTCTTACTACTGATCTGTGAATTTTTCATAACAAAGTTTCCAAGGTGACAACAACTTTTCTATATGAGAGAGTTATATTTTGTTGAAAGAAGTTGTAGTCAACTGTGACTGCTTTATTTCACTGTGGGAGTTGTACAAAAGCTGTAACAGTCGCTTTCAAATGAAAGAAGTTCATTCTGCAGTAATTTGTGAATTGTTTGAAACAATGCACAAGCAGTGTGGTCAAAAATGGTGTAGTAGTTTTGTGATAACTGTAAGGGGAAAAGATGTGCTCCCCCCAAAAATTCACCTGGGTTGATCTGAGTTAAATAAGCACTGCCGATGAACATTAAAATGTTTTTTTTCCCCTTAAATTTGCAGAGATTTGACATTCAATCAATTAGCAAGGTTAGATGATTCAAGCTTCATTGGTTTAAGTGTGCTGGTTGGACTATACATTGGAAACAACAAAGTAAATTACATTGCTGATTGTGCCTTCAGGGGACTTTCCAGTCTACAGATTTTGTAAGTTGACAAACTCAATTTGTAAGGTTAAAAACCTTAAGAAAAACCCTCAACGTTTATAGTTAGTTCTTTTCCTTGTGAAATATACAAGAACCTTTCGTTACCTTACCCTTATCAGTGTATGTTTCTCTTACAGTAGGATTTATTTTCAGAATAGTTGGGAAAGGGAGGAGTTGGTCTTTTGTTAAGGCTGTGCACAATGGATTGTGGTAATTATATGAATTTTCAGTAGCATTATTATGGGAAAGACCTGTCTCCATTTGAAGGCAGTGAGCAGCACTGCTACCCACAGCTTTAGGGATCTGGATCATAGTTGTGTCTTAAATAAATCATTTTCCCTCATAGTACAAATAAGAAGACAAAACTCAAACTGTGTATTACTATGGATGCTGATGCTTATCTTGACTGGACAATTGCTCTAAGCATTTGAGCATGTTTTGAAATAGCATTTCTTAAAGGAAGGAGAAGAACAAAGTAAATTAATCTAAATATATTCTACTTCGTTAAAATTACTCATTGGGTACAATTGACCCATCTGTTAGCCAGATGAGCAAAATGATTGCCTTTCCCTCTAGGTTTTTAAAAGGATGCTAACACTTTATTTCCAGGGGTTTGCTCACATACTGATACTTTGAGGGTCTAGCACAGATGCATTTCAAAGGGACGTATGCTATGTTTTTTTAAGAATACAGGGAGCTGTAGATCATAAAGAGAGGAAGTCAGAGAATTTTGAGTTGTCTAGGAATTGTTAGGCTTTTCCTCCCAGATTTTTCTTTCTCCTCTAGTCCTACCCTGTTGATTCTTTGCTGACACACCACTGTACACAAATCTCTAATCTCTTTATCCTTCATAGATAACTGAATGTTGTGGATGTTTTGGGATGTAGAAATGATTCTCTGGGTGTTCTCTGGGTATTAATACTATGAACATAAAAAGACATGAATGTGTTTTGGGCATGATCACTTCCTGTGATGCTCCTTCTCTTATAATAGTCCTGTGTCTCAATAGCCTTGGAGGGGAATGTGGGTTTGTTTGCTAATGATTCTGAAAACTTTTGAGTTTGTGATCTTTTTAACTATCAGTCAGAAAAGTACTAAGAATCAGTCTCTCAGTAAAAATTGAAATAGTTAGTCAGGAAAAGTTTCTCTTAAAAAACACAAAAAATGACTAAACAAAAAACCAACCTACCAGAAAGCTATTTTAGAATTATTTTTTTTTTAATAAAATGTCAAAGAATTATATACCTTGTTCTTTTTAATAGCTTTTGTGGTTTGATTTCCCCATCCCTCTTAAACAGGGATCTGAAAAACAATGAAATATCCTGGACTATTGAAGATATGAACGGTGCTTTCTCTGGCCTGGATAAACTTCGGAAGCTGTGAGTATTGCTACGATATTTGTATATCATCATTCCTTAAAAAAATTAGCTTAGCAGCTTGTATGTGTTTCAGGGTACAAGCCCAACACTTAATGATGTTATGTTTTCCGTAGGTGAGATGATTTTTTTTCTCCCTTACCATTTTGTTCTATATAAGATGTTCCTTTTCTGTAAAAGAAACTTCAGATTTTTCAAGTCAAACTAATCTGAAATATTTAAATTATTACTACTACTTCTGGAAATATTTATCAAAGAATGAGGCTTTCCCATAATACAAAATAATAAATGTATCCTATGACAAAGGCATAGTGACAAAGATAGTATTTGTTAAAGTAGTGCAGCATCCAGTGGAAGTGGCTTCATTTCATTGAGATTTCAAATGCAGATCTATGAAATAAAAATATGTTTATATGTATATATTTAGAATAATCATGTCACTTAACTGTACACCTTAAATGTTTTCTAAAATTATGGTAAAATCTAGATATTTATTCAAGGTAAGTAAATTAATATCTTTTAGATTTGAGAGGTTTTGCTGCATTGGAGATGGCTTAATAGTGAATATTAGTCATGATTTGGAAACAAATGCCAAAACCACTCAAAAATAATCTTGATTTAATTTCATCTTCTTTGCATTATGTGCTTAAATTTTTCAGGATGCTCCAAGGAAACAGGATTAGATCCATTACAAAGAAAGCATTTTCTGGTTTGGATGCACTTGAACACTTGTAAGTAGTAGAAATTGACATTTAACCCAAAATTGGAAAAAAATAATTTTGATACTAATTGAAATGAAAGTGGGACTAACAAGCTTTACTTGTGACTTCGGATGAAATGCAATTACCATGGTTGCTACTGTGATCTTTAGAAGGTTCTTCAGTTTTGGAATTATACTGGGTATTTTGGAATTAATGCAGAAAGTGTTATATATTAAGTGTGCTATAAAACTCCTTAGTTGTGTCTCGTTCACTTTTGAGCTTGAGGATCCTTTGTATATCACTAGAATAGCAATCTATTCCTTGAGTCTTAAATATATTCAGTTTAATAAATTACTGCTTTCCTCTAATGTTATTTTTCTTTTATTTTCCTAGAGATCTAAGTAACAATGCAATTATGTCAGTTCAAGGAAATGCATTTTCACAAATGAAGAAACTCAAAGAATTGTAAGTTTCTATCAAAAGGCATCACCTCTATTAAATATATATATATATATATATATAAATATATAAATAAAAACCTTGTAAGATGTCACCTAATGCAGTGATAAAGTTGTGCTGTAATCTGTGTGAAGTCACATAAAAAGTTTGTCAGTGTTTTGGGTTCTTTTATTTTTTATATGATGGGTGTATTTTAAGTGAGAGAGTGGGGGATAGGAGGCATTTGTTTTCTGCTACATTTGGTGTCTATAAAGTCCTTATTTTAAATTGACTGATCTCTGATGGGTTTTAAATAAGGAAGACTTTGATGTAATATACTATAAGATCAGCAGTGCTATCCCTGAGCTAAAGCTTACTGGACCAGTGAAATACAGTGCTGCAATTCTTTCGTGAAGACCTGGTTGTCAGTGCTTGTAATCGAGTCCTTCTGTCCTATAGTAACAAAGGGACAGATCTTCAGAGAAGCTGTGAAGCAGTCACTGGGAAAAATGTATTCTTCTAGTGAGGATTTTCTTTTTGTCCTCTTACCATTTTTTTCTATTGATCGATATGGAACAACATTGTCACTGCTCCCTGTCTAGTCAAACCTGTTGCCCTGAACTGCTCTGTAGATAATCTGTCAGCAAACTAAAGAATAACAAAAAGATGCTACTCTCATGAGTAGAAACTGCTTGAAGCTCGTCTGGAGCTTTTCATTTGTGTTCTCCAGACTCCTATCAAGTGTCACTGGGAGCTGGCTCTCTGTTCATCTTACAGAATTACTCCACGTTGAGTGCCATAGAGAAAGTAGCAAGGAACCTTGCGTATTTCATAGACTTAGAGAACAGACCAGGTTGGAAGATACCTAAAAGGGTCATCTGGTCCTACCTTTCCTTGAAAAGGGCAGCTAGATGAGGTTATCTAGAACCATGTCCAGTTGTGTCTTGAAAGCCTCCAGTGCTGGGCACTCCACCATGTCACATGTTGTTCCAGTGTGTGATTGTTCACACTGTAAAATATTTTTTTCTTGTATCTAGACAATATTTGGTTCATTTGAAATTCAGTTGAATGTTACCCATATTGTGCTGTAGCTGCTCTAGAAAACAGAAACCATGGTTCTACCTGTAGCCAGGGGTTTTCTGCCTTTCCTCTTCCTTGAGTTGGACCTGGTTGTATTGCTTGATTAGTTTGCTGAACTCGCTCAGCCAGCTTCAAGGCAGTTGCTAGTTTGGCACAGGAGAACTGGGAGCACAGTGCTGACAGTTAGGAATTGATACAGATGATTTGAAGAGTGATCAAATGTGATGGAAAGACAGGCTAACACTGCTCCAGAAGGTGTAAGATGCTGTAAGATACTAGACTGTAAACAACTTCAATGAAATAACTATTGAAGAGTTGTCTGTGTTGTTTTTCCTGTACTTTTCTTGAAACACCTGGTAGACATATATTATGTCTGAGGAAGATACAGACAGATGGTAGAAAGTAGTTTCCCACAAGTAAGATTATTTAGTATAACTTCATATCTAGTAGTTTTATTCTGAGACCCTAGAGGAAAATAATATGACAGATACCTACCTACTTCATCAGGATAGCAAAAAAATTGTGGTTTGTCTGCTCATAAAAATAACAAGAATGATTCTAAAACTTCAGTGAAAGATGACCTGTTTCATCTCAATGTAAACTGGTGAGCTGGCATCCCTAGGTTTTTATGCAGTGCTAATGTGAGAAAAGAACACAGAGACACTCTTCCTTTTCTTCAAGAAAAAAAAAATCAAGAATTACTATGTCTTCATTTATCTTTAAAGCTGTATATCCCCCTGGATCCATAAATTATTTTTGCTTTTCTTTCAAAAACAGGTGAGATTTAAAGACAGGTATTTTACTACTGAATGTGGTTTTTTAATATGTTTTTTTAAGGGTGATTTTGAGTTTTCAGCCAAAAACGAGAACTCTTCCTGCTTGAACTCCTGATTCTAGATGCTTACCAGAATATTTCTTTGCTTTTTTGTTTTTTCACTCTGTGAGTGTAGATATTCCCACAGGTTAGGTAAGTTCTGCACAAGTTATTTCAACAAGTTACTATTCTCTGTCTCCCCACTCCCCTTTTTAAATATCTTCACCAAGATAAATTCTGACTGAAAGGGAAATGAGAATGAAGCTGTCTCAGATGTTGACTTCCAGAGTGCCTACCTTCTGGACTGTTCTCCTGCATGCCCATTCCATGTGTCCTACTGCTGGCTGTACTTTTGTACCTGATACAGCACAAATATGCCTGTTTACCTGTACTCATATTTGTAGCAGAAGCTGGGAGTTCAGGATAACGTGTCTGTTTTGTAGAATGTAGGAGTCATGACAATAGTGTCACTACACCTGAGCTGAACGATATTGCTGTCTTTTCTCTTGTGATACATGTGTTTAGCCTCAAAATTTATTTTGTTACTAATGTGTGCTCATATAGATGTGTAATACAAATAGAAAAAACCAACAAACCGTCTTTGAGTGTAACTGCTTTCTCTCAGGCACTTCAACACATCAAGTCTCTTGTGTGACTGCCAGTTAAAATGGCTACCACAGTGGATGTCAGAGAACAGCTTCCAGAGCTTTGTAAATGCCAGTTGTGCCCATCCTCAGCTGCTAAAAGGGAGAAGTATTTTTGCTGTCAGCCTGGATGGGTTTGTCTGTGGTAAGTATAGCCTCTATTTCTCATTCCATAGAAAAATTTTGCTGTATGCTTAGTTTTTTTGTAGTTTCTTCGATATGTTTTGATTTCTGTAATAAAATGGAGAGGATTTGATATTTATTAACATTTTTTTCTATTCCCAAACTGTGATGTAGATGCTCAAAACTTGTAGCTTTGTACAAGTTGGGGAGTGACAGTCTTTTGGCTTTTATTTTATGTACAGCTTGCTTACATAGTACGTAGTATAATGTACAAGGGAAAGCTCAATAGTCTGTGGTGGTAGTTGTGTATGCCTCCATTTACACTGTTGATATTTTGTATTTCAGTTTACCAGATAGTAAATGCTAGTAAAATATTTTTACTTGAGAATTTGAGGTGATAGTATCTGCCTTAAAAATGAAAGTTTTCTGTGTATGTTTAGTAGCATTCATTATTCACATGTATGTTGTGTTCTCTGTTTAAAGCAAAGTGAAGCTAAGCATTCAGAGTAAAGATGTGTGTTTAGGTACTCTGATACATAAAGTGGGAACTGCAACAAAAATATTAGGAAATTAAAAGCTAACTGGATTTCATGTATTTTTGTTGAATACATTTTTTTTTTTTACTAGAAAGGATTCAAACTTTGTATTCTTCGTAGACAAAACAGTAACTATCTTCTCAATAATTTTTCTCTCATAACAAATATAACTACTTAATTTTTACTGTTGCTGCTTATATCCTTTTTTGCAGTGGGAAAGCAGGTACAGAGTATAAAATAGTATACAAAAATGTTGTTTTCTCTCTTTCTGTTAGCAGTCAAATATTTAATAAATAATGAGTAGGTGCTGGCTACTGCTGAAAAGGAGAAGTTGACAGTGCAGAAAATTACAGGTTACTTGGTGGTTAAAGGAGTATAATGAAGTATACATTCTTATTTATGAGAAACTCATTCTGTCAAAAAATGAAATTGGGAATTTAAATATATAACTTTTATTTTTTAAACCAGGGACTTTAACAAATTGTGACCTTTCTTTTAGCTGCTGAATGGCATTTTTAATTAACTCATTTCAAACCCTTTTAAGATGTATTAGCAAAAGGGAATGTACTAATAGTTGTTATATTTAATACTTAACGTAATTGTCGTGCAGAAGTATCTAAAATCTCTTAATACAATCAAATAAGTGATTCACTTAAATCTTTAAAGTGTACCATCACTAGACATTTGGGTGTACACACCTTGCCTTATGAGTTTACAATGACTGCTTTTGCTTTTATAGAATTTTTAAGAGAAGTGTATTGACTCCTGTGTGAAATTAAAATGTGGGTATAAATGTGTGTCTCTGTGATACATTCATCCAAATATGCATTCAAATAGTTCTTTTCTGACAAAACACAGTGCCTCTATTATCCTGGTGTGTTCTGTATTCTGTACTGTATGCTTATTTGAGTGACCTTTTTATCCCCCCCTTCCTGTGAAATAAGATTAAAATATATTCTCCTGTCCTCTCACAAGGCTAATTTAAGTATTTACAGTGCTTTACTTTAGTTATACCTGTGCAAAGTCAGTGAAACTATCAACTTAATTTTCAAATTGTATAGTTTGTCATGGAGGACTTAAGACATGGGTATGAGGCATGAAAAAAAATGGCCTTGGAGATTCTTAAGGTCCTTGCTTAGAGTCCCAGATTCACATTACCCTGTCACTGGAACACAACTTCAGACCTGCGTGTCTTTTGCAGGCAGCTCAAGGCTAGGCTATCTGCACATCTTATTTTCTTTTGTAACACACAACGTGAAAGTTCTTTTAGGAAATAACACTTTGACCTTGATATGTGATTCCCAAACAAATGAGATATAAGGAGACAAGGGGCTAGATAAAAATGGACTCTTGTGCAGGGAGGAGTATTTGGGGCACAGGCCTTTTCCTGCAGTTCCTGTGAAGTTTTTCAGGAGATTGGAGACATCTTGAAAACTGGGAATATGCTAACGCTTTTGCTTTTGGGAGACCAGGCATTTAATTGCCCACTCCTTTTATACATGCAGTGTACATACAATTGAATAAATAATTCAGAAGGCAATTAATTCTGTAAACTCACAACATGTCACTTTGAAGGTAACTTTTCAATGGTAAAGAGACCTCCAGAAATTAATGTCTTGAAGTTCTTGTGTGCTGTCCTGCTTAAGGGATCTTTATCCTCTTTGGACCAAACAACCACAGATCACTGAAACACTGACTTTTGTACACGATTTTTTGTTTATGGGTTTGGGTAAAACCCTTGACTATAACTTACAGTTTCTGATGGCAGAAGGACTGTGCTTTCAATAAAGAAAAACCCACAGCAGCCTCAGGTGTTGTAAATATGAAGGGTAGGCTTCTTGACTGATGTTCAGAATAGTTCTTACAGATGTCAGGGGGTAGTTCTTCCATCTTTAAGGCTGCTGTTAAACAAACTATACACATAGTCTGATTTTAAATGTGCTTTTTTTTCAATGAGAGATGACTTGGCACAATAAACTCATAAAATATGACATCTTTAATGCACTAAGGCTAGTGAAATTTAAAACTAAAGCATTGTGTATCCATTTTATAAACAGTTATCTGACTCCTCTCTCAAACCTATAAAACAAGGCTTACAAACTCCTTCTGAAAAGAGTCCTCAGGCCTCACCTTTATTTTTTTTTTTCTCTTGCCCTGTGTTACTTTTTCTCCCTTCTGTGCAGATGATTTTCCTAAACCACAGATCACCGTACAGCCAGAAACCCAGTCAGCAATCAAAGGCTCCAATTTGAGTTTTGTGTGTTCAGCAGCCAGCAGCAGTGATTCCCCAATGACTTTTGCATGGAAGAAAGACAATGAATTACTGCAAGATGCTGAAATGGAGAATTATGCACACCTCCGGGCACAGGGTGGTGAAGTGATGGAGTACACTACCATCCTTCGACTGCGCAATGTTGAGTTCAGTAACGAAGGGAAATACCAGTGTGTTATTTCAAATCACTTTGGTTCATCTTACTCTGTCAAAGCCAAACTTACAGTAAACAGTAAGTATGTTACTTTTTGCTTGTGGCCTTAAAAGTAGAATGATTTTAATCAAGATGTGTGAACATAGTTTTTCCATTCTCATCATCTGTATCTTTTAAGAGATCCCTTAATATGCTGAGATTATTTCTTAAAATATATCTACTTCCAAGATCAGACCATTCAGCTATACTTCTGGTCCCATTGTGTTGAAGCATAGTATAGGAAAAAACAAGTAATAAGATTCATAATAAATCTTATAGATAGACAAAATCTATCTTACAAGATGGAAAAAACATTAATCCTGTCTTCACAGGAGGTAAGTGTATACTTTGTTTCAAAGTGCTGTGGAAAGGACATGTAGGAGGCTGTTTGCAGAAATGAGATTTGGATCTAGGTGGTCTCACATACTTCACAGTTCCCTCCGTTTCTTTCTGCTGGATACTGATAAATTTAGGTTGTGTGCTTCTCTGGCATTTTTAGGCCAACAAAGGGTGTTAAGAAAATGTTGTGCAAAAAAGAAAAAGTATGTTTCATGTATTCATTTTGGTATCACTAACTTTTCTTTAGTGCTACCTTCATTTACAAAGATCCCCATGGACTTAACCATTCGAGCTGGAGCAATGGCACGTTTGGAATGTGCTGCAGTTGGGCATCCTGTCCCACAGATTGCTTGGCAGAAAGATGGTGGAACAGATTTTCCTGCAGCGCGCAAGAGGCGCATGCATGTCATGCCTGAAGATGATGTATTCTTTATTGTTGATGTAAAGATTGAGGACACAGGTGTTTATAGCTGTACAGCTCAAAACACTGCTGGAAGCATTTCAGCTAACGCAACATTAACAGTACTAGGTAAGATATTGGCAATCCTTGTTACATTTTGTTAACCATTTTTATTCTAGTTCTCTGCAACCTTAAGTGTGTATGATTTGGCCTTTTTGCCTTGTGAGGTAATCAAGCATTTAGGTCTGATCAGTTGACAAGTAAATTGTAGGCTCTAAAGTCAAGAGTCCTTGAGTTTTTTCTGAGAATCAGATTAAGCTTCATTAGGCCTTACTGATGCATTTAATTTAGCTTTTCCTCTTGAGCTTTGAAGGAAGGGGACGTTGTCATTTTTGCAAGGTCATTTAGGATATAAGGCTTGTGCTTTCTTTTCAGAAACACCATCATTTTTGCGACCTTTGATGGATCGAACTGTAACAAAAGGGGAAACTGCAGTCTTGCAGTGTATTGCTGGTGGTAGTCCTCCACCCCGACTGAACTGGACTAAGGATGACAGCCCTCTCGTGGTAACAGAAAGACATTTCTTTGCTGCAGGCAATCAGTTACTAATTATTGTGGATACAGATGTAGAAGATGCTGGAAAATACACCTGTGAAATGTCTAATACACTTGGGACAGAACGCGGCAACATCCGTCTTAATGTAATTCCTACTCCCACTTGTGATTCTCCTCAAAATGTTGCCCCATCACTTGATGATGATGGATGGGCCACAGTTGGCATTGTGATCATAGCTGTGGTTTGCTGTGTGGTGGGCACTTCCTTGGTGTGGGTAATCATCATCTACCACACAAGAAGGAGGAATGAAGATTGCAGCATCACAAATACAGGTGTGTAAACTGAAAGTTTGCCTTGGAAAGGAAAAAAAATGTTTGTGGTTGCTTTGCAAAGACTTTATTGTAGGAACATTTGAGTGCTTTGGCTCAGAAGAGCAAATTACTTGTTACTTGCAGTGCTTTGCTGACAAATTTATAAGTGCTTCTGCAAACTGAAGTATGCTGATGGCTTTTGTATGTGTTTTGCATCCCCACAGATGAAACAAATTTGCCTGCTGACATTCCCAGTTACCTGTCATCCCAGGGGACACTAGCTGAAAGGCAGGATGGATATGGCTCATCTGAAAATGGCAGTCATCATCAGTTCCTCACTTCTTCTGTGGGAGGGTATTTCTTACAGCAGAGAGACGGTAATGGTAGGTATAAAATGCTAAGCAGATTTTCTATGTTGCTTGAGTAGCTGTAGTTTTCCTATTGTCTTTCTGACTAGTAGAAATAACACTAAAGAAGTGTCTTTACTGAAAGTTTGAGGATGTGAAATGTATTGCTTAGTATTGCTTCAAAAAGATAATAAAAGGAACTTGGATCTGTTCATCCAAATAACGTTATGGCTTTTATTAAATTATGAATTTTTTCACTAATCTCAAGGGTAAATTTAAACTGATGATCACGTTTCCAAAAGAAGAGTGTCCAAAGCAACAGCTTGTCTTCAGCTCTTACAGCTTGAAAAGGATTCTTTAATGGCATGTGGGCATATGTGATAATACCAGTGTAACTTTAGTTTAACTCTTTAAACTTGCCAGTTAGAAAAGTCATTAGGGTCAAAGTCAATAAGAGATTTAAAGTGACTGCAAGTTACCTTATGCTGCAGTACTTGATATTTATACATCTGACGCCTGAAAATCTAGTGTAACATACCTGCATTAGGGAGGAAAAGGCACTTTGCTGGGAAGAGGTAGGGATTGAGATACAGTCAGGAATTGGAACAGGTGGCAATGAAGTGGTGGTGAGATAGTGCTACAGTTGTAGGGTAGTGAGAGGAGCAGCCTCTTTGTGGGTCAAGAACCACAGACCGTGTCCACACCTTCAGGAGCATTTGAACTGAAAATCTCTATGGCTGTTCAAGCAGCCAGTTACTCCTTCAGATTCTTCCACGTGGGACTTTTGTGTTGACAGTCTGGGCTCCAAAACGTATCTGTGAGACAGAGCATGAACCTGGCTTCACAAGTGCTTTAGAAGTTGTCCCTGGCTTTGATCCCTGTGATGGGTTTTGTTTTGTTATTTAGGGGTTGTATCATGAAGCAAAGTGTGACACATTCTCTGTTAAGCTAATTAATTGAACACTTGCTAGAATTAGAATTCTTATCAAAAGGTTAGGTTGAACCTAATCAAACTCTAAAATACACTATGAAATGCAGCTGAACACATGGGGTTCTTAAGAAACTGTAAGCCGAAGATTCAGAAAAGATTTTATACTGACATGTCAATTTTATTTCTAAGGCATTTGCCATCTAGATAACAGCAGTGAAACAGACTTGGAGGGTGCTGCAGATCCATTCCTATGCCACTATCTGGGGACTTCAGGGACTTTGTATTTAAAAGGAAACACATATAGTTCTGATGCATTTGAAGCATACAATGCAAGTAAGTTGGCAGGGGGGAAGTTTTAGTCCTAATTCAATCTTGTGTTATGATGAATCTATATGAAAACAATCTTTCATTTTCATTAGGTTGCAGCCCTGACCAAAGAACAGCATGCTTGGATCCTTTTGAGTCTGGATATTTAAGGAAAAAGGAATGCTATCAATACTTGCCTCCACTAGATGATCCCTTTGACCAGTGTGTTGGCATTATCGGGATGCAGGCTACAAGTAGCAGATTGATTAATTCTATTTATACTCAAAATGAAGGAACTGGACTAAAAAGCAAAAGTCTGAATTTGGACACATTTGATTTAAACAGAAGTTTGGAACCCTCATCTGTTATGAGTAACAGCACTTTCATGGGTATGTTCTAGTTGTTGTTTTTTATTCGAGCTTGCTGTCTTGCTTCCTCCTTACAACACTAAGCAAAACTGATTTCTCAGCTTTTTCTTTCCCTAATGTTTTAAGCTGAGGAAGAGAGGAATGGTTATAGTAAAACTGTGTGATGAGAATATTTAGGTTACTGGGATGTCTTAATAGCTCACACTTACATGAAAGTCTCATCAGTGATGTGATTCTTATCTTCTGTCTTAATATAGATGGCAAATTTCCATAAATGTTAGGATACATAACAGGCAAAAGGTATACAAGGTCCCAGGAGGGCTCAGGGCAGGTGGGGAGACTTGAGCTTGTATGAGTATGTATCATGTAACATGTATCATGCCTTCAAAGTAAGGCACTATGTAAAAATGCCCTCTCTACCCCTCCGTTGTCCTTTTCTCATGGTTTGTATGACAAAAAGAGTTCCCAAAGTTTACTTCAGGGTTTACAATTTTAATCCAGATTGCAGGAAGAGATGGGGGGAAGGAGAAAAGCTTTACCTTTGAAGCTTCTTAAGTTTTGGGTATTGGTTGGGCTGGTTGGTTTAAAATGCATATAAAACCACATACTGCTCTCATCCTTGTGATATCTTTGCACCAAGCACAGCCCTGGTACCGTGGATTGTTTCCTGGCTGGTGTGTCAGCATTGGCTGATCAAGGCCTGGGTCTGATGGCTCTGCAAGGGGACCTGGGGGAATGCACGTCACTGGGCTCTTTGTTCTCAGGGGGTGGGGAGCGAGGCACAACCTCTGAAGTTTTCCCCCTTCGAAAGCCAGATGTTTGAACTATAAAATGTTGCAGATGCCAGGACATCTGGCAGAGGCCCTGCGACTACATGTGGCCAGACCCCTGGCTGCCTGCCACTATTACTGTGGTGGGACTGTGTGGATAGGGCTCCTGCAGGAAATAGTTCAGCTATAGATTGGTATACCCTGGAGTTAATGCCATATCAAGGGCATCTTGCCCTAAAAATCTATACAGAGCTACTCTTTTCATCAGTTCTCTTAGGCTACAACCCTGCTTAAGTTGCATCATCACTGCCTTGGATGCTTTTTAATCATTAGTGCTCTTGCCTCAAAGAACCTATGGCTAGATCTTGGAGATGGTGGCTGTGGAAGAAGTTGTGATAGATTTCTTGTCCTTAGTTGTGAATCCACTTTTTTCAGCATTGTCTTCAAATTCAACTCCCCTTTTGCTTATACAATCACAATGAAGAAGACAACTGGAATTAACTTTACTGTCAATGCATGAATCAGGAAGTTCATAGCTTGGATTTTGGTTTTTAAGATAGGACTCATTTGTAGCTTTGCTGTTGTGAGGAACATCCTTTCGTATTGTATTAGGTTAAAATTGCTCTACAAAGCATTGATGCAAATGTGGATCTTGTCCAATTCCATTTTTAGTAACTTCTCAGATGACAGTTTTACTTGAAACCCTTGCTTCTAGCCCCTAAGCAAAAGTGTGGTGGTTTGGGTTCAAAATTTATTAAAGATTGTAGTGTTAAGTTATTAATAAAAACTCAAGTTCTTCAAAATCAGCCTGTAGCATGTTTTCCTCTAAAAATAAGTCCTTTGAGTGTCTCTTGCAGACGCTGATTTGCAATAGCTGTATCAATGAAAAAAGAGAAGACCCTTCTTTCAAAGGTGTTGATGCTAATTATTTTCTGACTAGTAAATCCAGGTAGTTATTTATAAAGATTGAACTGAAATGCTGAATTCTCGTTGGGTTACGACTGTTCTCTTTGCCCACAAATAGCTAGATGATCAGTTATGAATGGAGCGTGTGGCTAGCTGGACTTTTATTATTAATGAGACATGCTAACCAGAAAAAGATTTCTTTAGCATTTGGATTGCACTGTGGGATGATGTTGCATAACGCAATACAGGTCAGGAGTTAAATTTTTTTAAAAACCTGTTTTATTTTTTCTGAACTACATGGCAGATGGTATGTGCCATTCATTCACTGAAGAACAAAACAGGGAGACTGCTGTGACCTTTGCGTTGGAAAGTGTCTTGTGTTTGCAGTTTGGTCTGTGTTCCCACCTCCCCCCTCACCACCCTCTCCAAATTAAAATGGGTATGGAAGTAGTCATGAAAACGAAAGAAAGTTGTCGGTGGCTATACAATTGCTTTGGAAATGTTTTTAATGTCTCAGGTGGCAGAGTCTTGCTTTATGCTTGTGATCACATCGATGTTTTCTTTTAAGGGGTAAAACAACAGTGAAGTAAAATTTCACTTTGGTGAACTTTTTCTGTCAATCTTTGGCTTACATTCCAACATGCAGTCCTTGGTGAGGCACGAAGCTGTTAGCATTGGTATTTCTGTACTCACTCTTTTACTGTCTTTCAGGAACATTTGGAAAACCTTTATGGAGGCCTCAGCTGGACACTCTTTCAAGTTGTAGGCAGCCAGTAAATTGCCAGCCGAAAACCTCCCGTAATAATCATCATGCCTCACTGGACTTTGATGCAGAGGCAGATGAAGAGGGAAAGGAAAGGACAGATTCTAGAGGAGAAAATAGCTTTTATACTTGCAAACAGTCATTTGAAAACTTTAGGACTTCTGCTTTCCAATCCTGTGATTTGGATACATAGTTCTTTTTGGACTTGCTATTGATTTCTGGAACCAAAGAAATACTTTGATATACTACTACCTCAGTATGAAACTTTATTTAAAAAGGGACTAAGGAAAAGAAGAAGGAAAGAAAGAAACCACATGATGCTATGAATTCTGAAGAAAAAATGTATTTTTATTCCAATAAAGCATAATTGCCAAAGTGCTCTTCGTTTGTTGTACTGAGAAAACATTCCTTATAAAAATACTATATTTTTAATTATTTTATAGCTTTTTTAATGCAAATATATTTTGTAAATTAATGGTGTAAATAATACAGCATATGTATTTCTATGTCAGACTTCATTTTATTGAAATGAGCAGTAAACATTCTAATTTTGTACTGTTACTTGTACCTTTTTATAAATGGAAACTCCATGCTGTTTGCAGGTATCATGCATCTTATTTGCACATTACTTTTAATAAAATCTGCTGCTGTGTGGTCTCTGACCCACATTAGTGTATGAAGAATGAACAACGTGAATTACGTTTCTAGACAGTGTTTTCTGATGCACGTTTGCACCTTTGTTTGACCTAAACTCGTACCTTTAGATTTACTGTGTAAAATATGTTCATCTTCAAAGAGTTGGTGTGGTCCTGCCATGGCTGCTGGAGAAGTGGCTTGAAGCTATTTCAACCAAAATAAGTATGCAAGTGTTTTCCACTTAGCAAATTTCCACTGTGCGCACATGCTCCCAGTTTTCATGCGCGCAAGGCTGTAGTACTGCCAGTTTTTCCATGCCTGTGTTGTAGTGTGCCTGCATCTGTTGGAGGATATACACAGTAGATGCACAAATTCACATCAAGCTATTTAGTAGAAGAAGAAAAGAGGCACTGTATATCTGCTTGGTAAAACTGCTCTTTTCTGAGTGGGTTAGTGTTCAGTGTTTGCCAAATATGCAGTGCATGCCTGAGTCTTTGCTTTCCCATACCCTTTCTCCCTCCTTTTTTGCTTCTACGACCACTCCATGCCCAACATGAGAAGGTAATCCAAGTACAAGATAATGTTTACTTTGGTTTAATTTGTGCTTCTGTTCCTTACTTGGCTGCCCTTCTCTGGTTATAGATGAGATCTGTGCTTTATTTAATTGCTCGGTCAAGTTGAGCAATATTGAATTCTTGCTGGATTATATTTGCAGTAATGAACACAATATCTTCAACTCTTAAGAAGTTGGAGAAAGAGAATTGCTTATTATAACATAGTAATTAAAACTAAGTGAAAACACTCTATTTTGGTTTTCTGTGTATGGATACCTACTATTTTAAAAATCTGTGAATCTTTTTGTCATCACTCCATTAGAACAGTGAGATTCTAAAGTGGTTAATACTATAGGAGATTGGCTTTTTAAATCTGCCTGCTTTGAAGGTGCAAACTTACATGGTTGCCAGATATCTTCTTTTAAACTAAATTAAATGCAGCTGTTAAAGTAGGCCATCACAGGCATCATGGCTAAAGCTTGAGCAAAGATTTCATTGCCTGGTGTAGCTGAGCTAAGGGCTTTTAGTTGTAGCCAGAAACCTGGTACCCAGATTGCAATGCAATTTCCCTTTACTTTAGGCACCAGTATTAGAAACAGGAAGTTAATCCATCCTTGGTCGCTGGTGGTCTAAGTGTACAGAATGGATTTTGCGTGCTTCAGCTGATCATATTGCCAGATTTTTTGACTTATTGTTAATTTGTCTTCATTGCTGCCAGATGTGCTGATGTGCTGACAGACATTGATATGGGTGTTTGATTATAATTAAGTGCATTTAAAAGAGATTAATTTTTCATGAGTTAAACAAAACCTATAAGTCAATAAGGCAAGAAATCTTAAATTTTATTCACTCAATAGCTCTCCTTTTACTCCCCCTCAGCCCCCTCCCCACTGACCCCTTTTTTAGGGAGAGAAGAGCTGGGGGCTGTAATAAGCTTGTGTTTGTAACCAAACATTGCCTTTTTGACATATTAAAAAGCACCAAAGTTATAAATGGTTAAGTGCATTTTTCATTCCAGAGTTAATGTTTATCCTTAATAACTCCATCATAAAAAACAAGCCTTAAATTTATTTTCTGTAGTGGGGGAGGGTTGAGAACAATGGCAATGCCATTTATTACTTTTTCATCTTCCTTGAAAAGATCCTAATCTTCCAAAGGCTTGGATCTCTGTACCTAAATAAGTGTTCAGGGTCAATGAATTTTAAATGCTTTCTATCAAATTTCATTTAGCAACCTAAACATACAAATGACTTAAAACTTTTATTTGATGCCTTAAGTACCCAGAAATGGAAGTGAAAGCTCCAAAGTTCTCTTTTCTGCCAACCAGTTTTTGTGTTTAATTAATGAATTGTGCTTAAATAGAGTGGTAATTTGTAAATTTCAAGATAGTTGCAATATCTTAGTAGTTCTTTTAAGGCCACTGATGTAACCAAACATCTGTTTTAAAGGCTTGCAAGTTAACTTGCATTTGTTCTCTTCCCCTCCCCCCCCCCCTTCTTTTTTCCCCTCTGAAGATGCAGATGTTAGGGAGTTGGGAGTTGGATGTTTACACAGCTGAAAGCTAAATTTTAAGTTGATGTGATGGGAAAATAAATTGCAGCCAACAGTAAGTAAATCTTATACTGCATCTCAGAGTCTTAGAATGAGAAACAAGTGTTGCTGAATGACAGACATTTTGCAGTTTCACAACCAGCAGCAATTGAAATCTTGTCATGGACAGAACTTGTAGAATGTTCTTTAAAGGCAGTATGCTCTTAATGCTTTACACAACAGAATGTTTTGCTTGTTGAACTCATGCAAGCAACTGCTGAGATATAGTTTCTGTAAGCCCTGAATAATAATTTTAAAAATTTTAGATAAATAGTTACTCATTTACCAGAATCTCTCTGGAGCAAGCATTTCCAAACAGTAACCTAAATGGTGTGCATAAGATAACACTGGTGGATACTGGAGCATACTCCAGCATACTGGAGGCTGTTACTATTTCAAATACAAAATCTTACAGAGTGCTATGGTATTTCAGCACCAAATGCTTTAATTTAGAGTTCTTTACTTCACTGTAAATGGATCTTGAGAAATGGCAAAGAGCTAGGCCCAAAGTTTCTACCAGAGAATATTGCCACTTCTCCAACCGAGGACTCATTAGTGTCACCAAACATTTCAGTTTCGGGGATCGCTTGAACTCTTAAGCCTTATTCCTTGAGCTGCTTCAAAGAAAGTTAAAACTAAGAGGTAGATCTGCGCTGCAAAAATTTGTGTTCTGTCAGCCTTACAGACCAGTACCATAACTGGGGATTTTGTTGCTTTTTGAATATAAATATAAGCAGAAATTGTACTAACTACTTGTAAGACTTCTTGATACATCTCAGAGAATTACTCTTACAGGTTTTTGCCTTTTTTTTCTCACTTTGTGTGTTGCTTTGTCATAGAGAACGTGACTGACTATTTGGATGTCAGTTTACCAGCCTTATGTAATTATTTTATTAAGAAAATAAGGGGAGAAAAGAGCCTTAACCTGTTTAGTGAAGGGAAGAAACCAATGTATAACAAGATGCAGTTCTTGTATGTAACCATTTTACTCCAATGAAGAACTTACTAAATACCTTCCTTTATTTCAGGGAAGTGTTACTTACAGCAGGGAATAAAAGCAATAGTATCTTTGCTCATAACATGTGGCAAAAGGTGCTTCTCATGGTTGTTGTGCTAAAGTATTTAGGGGTCAGTAGTTCCACTGAAATAACATATGTGCACACCCTATCACTTATCAAAAGGCACATGTAGCCTCTCCTGTTTCCCAGGCTGCTCTTTTTCTCAGCTCAATACTGCTCCCATGTCCTCAGGGGACCTTCTTTGATAACCTATACTATTCTGCTTCCAGTTTCTCTGCGTATCCTATCACTGTGGTGTCAGGCCAGGACAAATGGATTCGGTTTACAGAGTATAGTGCAGTTGCAGGCGGTAAGGAGTGGTTGGATGCTAGAAGAGAGGAGGGGAATTGTGGGAAGACAGGCTAGCCACAGCATTAGGAAGATTTTGGTACAAAATGCAGTAAATGCATAATTGAGGAGGCAGAAATAAAATATTTACAATAAAATGCCTGCATTCTTGTCCTCTTTACAGTACTTTTTGTGTATTTAATTCCACTCATCCTCTGTACTTTAAAATGCCAAAAGCAGCTGTGCGCCAAAGAGCACATCATCTGGAGAGTTACGCCTTACTGCATCTAAAATGTCCTTTTCTGTAGGCAAGAAACAAGATCCATTTGTTATTCTGTGTTTGTGTTCAAGTCTAAATATTGCTGGTGCAGTGCATAGTTTCCCAGAGTCATGGGGTCCACTGTGTCAGAATGCATGTGATCAGTGTGACTCAAGAATGACATGGGACAGCAGGACCTGGGAGTGAAGTTGGTAGCATTTAACTTCACTGCTTGTAAAACAAATTTAGGCTTTGTGACTTGAGCTCAGAATTTTATTTCCCACACAACAGAGAACAGAACCATAAATTACTCTAGATTGAGGACTACTGATAGCACTTCCGCATGATCCCTTTTCCTCAGCACTCAACAAGAGCTTTTGTATTATTCCCATTCAGTTTGGCTGTTGACTGTGGGCTGTTTGCCAGCAAGTGTAGTGCAGGAGTTTGCAATCTGAGCACCTCTATATACTATGTTCTGAAATGAATGGTGACTAATTTTAAGCCCTGTGAATTTCAAATATGCCACTGGAAATGATATAATACCCTCTCATTTGCTATAGCAATGTGCAACCTGCTTATTTTCAGGACTTCCCTTGTAAATGTGCATGAAGAAGCTATGATTTATGATTTGGGTCTGCTGCTGGATTATCAAAATCCAGGTATTGATATTAGAGCCATTTGAAATAACTTCTTGATCAGTGAGTCTTCAACTTCTTTTATGGCTAAATGATGAAAAACCACATCCATTCCTATCCAGTTAAAGAAACTACCTTTGACACTCTTCCTGATGTTCAGCCTAATTATTTTAGAAATAACTAAACAAAAGACTGTAATGGAGTAATTGATGTCCTTGGGTTTTGTTTATGCTTCCATTTTGCTTTGCTATAACATGGAGAATTCAGGGCTCCAGCCTCTGTTCAAATGGTGAGGTTTCATACTGAGTTTCATAGATGTGCCAGCACTGGACAGCCCTATCTAATTCTGTCCTGCTGCTAACAT